CCGCCTGCATGGGCTGCTGCAGCCAGCCTGTTTTACATCTGTCCCTTCCACCTCTACTTTCTGCCCCATTGATCACAGCCTTTAAATGATTTCAGCGAAGCTTTCTGGAATGTCCCCTTAACCCCATGTCTTATTTAATCACGGTCTCCTCTGTGGTTGAGACCTGACAACTCCCCCCCCCGGCCCCCGAATTTTCCACTCTGCCCTTTGCTACCCTAGAGGTCCTGCCCTCCAGCCCGACTCACATGTCTCTCCCAACATAGTTTCCAGCATCTACCTTTTCTCTTATTCTGTGTTCTTTCACACAGGCCTCCTCAGAAGCTGTCTGTCCTTTCAGTCAGTCCTAGGACAAGCTTCATTTCTCAGAAGAATTGTAACATGGATCTCCAGGGCATTCTACTCTTACTGTCTTTGGTTATTTGCCTGGCTTCATTCACGAAGCTCTCATCTTTATGTTACGGCAACGGATTCAATATTGTTCTCTGGCCACGAAAGGCCCCCCTCACTCCCTCTCCTCATCACCCAGTGTTAGTCGTCCTTTCTGCTAACATTAATAGATTGCTACCAGTGGTTTTACTGGATGGAGTTCACCTTGGATGCCCTGTAACCTCTCCTTGTTATCAACCAAATTATTTAATTAAACTTTTGTCACAGAAGTTTCAGAAACATTCTACTAATACCATTCTTATTTGCTTCCTTAATCTGTTTCTCTGTGTCTCTTACTTAAGTGTCTTAGGTCTTTACTTGTACATAAAATCCAACCAGTTTGCCCCAGGCTGTGATTATACCCTTGTTCCTGATGGTTTCCTTACTTCTGTTCATTTGCCTGTGGCCTCCCTGCTTAAGCAGAACCAAACTGGGGTTCATACAATCCTGTGTCACTCAATGTCCACCCTGCCTCTCCATTCTTATTTGATCACGACCCTTGTCCCTACCACAATTCCCATCTCTCCTTTCTTTTTTTCTAAATACTTCAACTGACCCATTCTAGGTCTGTGTTAGCTTCCACTTGCTTCCTCCTTCCCTTTGTCCTGCAGAAAACCCTACCTTGATTTAACCACGATCATTCTTTGATCAATCCCCTATTGCACTGAAATAATTCTGTGGTCTTGATAGGTACACTCTTCTCTGTGGGTCAGCCCGCTGCCATCATCTGTTTTCAGCACGCTCTCTGAACTCAGACCTGTTCTTCACAGGATTCCCACCACTGGCTTTAGTTATTTCTCACATTCCAATCTCAACTGCCTCAGCTCACCAGAGCCTGTTGGGAAAATATCTGGTCTCCTTCATTTGAAATACATGGTATTTCAAACAAGTTCCTAAACAAATTCTCCTCCAGCACCTAGGCATTAGCGTATCTCTTGCCATTGCCAACTGCCCCATGGCCTTTCTGGCCTTTTGTCTGTGTCTTCCTTTGCTTGCCCAACTCTTTTGCAGCCTTGGAGATCCTATTAAAACTGTCACATCCCTTCAAATTCTTGATTTCCCCAAGCTGTTAATCCTGCACTCCCACACAGCCCCGTTAAAACTCAAAGAACCTACGGGCACTGAGTTGCAGCGTCACAGGCATGTAAGGAGACCTGTCCCTCTCTCTCTCTCTCTCTCTCTCTCTCTCACTCACACACACACACACACACACACACACACACACACACATCTAGTTAACTCCTAGCCAATCCACTCTTGGAGAAAGAGGTCATGACTCCAATCTGACATGCTTGTTTACACCTTTATGTGGAATGTCAACATGTATTGGCATTTACTACATACTTGGCGGGAAAGAGGGAGTTTAAAGACTGAGCAGAGAGGTCAGAGTCCCATTACCCAGATTGTCACAGATGGTCCTGCCCTTCCTATCCCCCAAATAACCCTCACTCCCCAATTTCTAGTATTTTTTTTGTACCTGTAAGCCTTTTTCAAACCATGGATTAAATCCTCAAATGCCTTTTCATCCATACTTAATAAATCATCCCCTCTTCCAACAGTTCAGAAAGTCCCATCTTCTTCACGAAGACTTCCCTTTCCAAAAATGTGTCCCCCTACCTCCATTTCTTTCTGAATTTACGAGTCATCCCCAAACATATAATGGCCCACTTGTTTTTCTGTTTTAAGACACTGACTTTGCCAGTGCTGGAACCTCATTACTGACCTATACTGTAGGTTGAAAGTTGACCTAAAGCAAGTTCATTCTGGTGTCCTACAGACCCTCTGTTGGTCCACAGTCTAAAGATACAATATTGAGAGACTCTGGTGTACTTAGTGTTAATTCAATGACCTGTGTGCTTTTTGTTTTTTTGTTTTTTTGGTTTTTTTTTTGCTTTGTCAGCTCCTAAAAGTAACGATTCTCACATTTTTCAACTTGTAGACCCTTTTGACAAGCCTGGCAAAAAAAGTCCCCAGTTATCCCCCCTGCCGCTTTCTTTATACAGATACGAAAACATTTTTGCCCAGGTCGTCTTTTCTGTACTTTTCGACAGGAAAGGTGTGGTCTATGTATGGCGGGGAATGGTTTTTAAAGTCATTTTGTGAGACTGCCTTTTGCCCAGGCCGCAGGCTGCTTTGGGGGCCACCACCCGTCACGATACAGAACACGGTGCTGCGTGCGGACGGTGCGGAGTTACAGACGGAGGCCCTGGGCTTGCACTGCCCCTGACACAGGCTTGCCTTCTCTTTCACCCCAGCTGCAGGCACCTTTAGCTGCACCATGAAGTTTACCGTCCGGGACTGCGACCCTGACACCGGGGTTCCAGCTGAGGAGGGGTATGATGATGAGTACGTGGTGAGTCTTCCCGGCACAGAGATTCACTCTGACACCCTCGCACCACCCAGTGACCTCTGCCTGCAGAGAACATGTTGCTGGCGGCACCTGACATGAACCTACGGGCTTTTATTCTCAAACACGTCACAACCGAGGAGGACCTGGGCCAGTCCTCCTCTGTGACAGGAGTGTATCTTGCCAAAGAGAATTCCGATTTACCCCTTAGTGACTGATTAAAACAAAACTCACTTTGTTAGGTCTTTAAAAATAGGGGCGATTAAGAGATGAAAACGTTTACGCGATTTGCCTGGAGATCAAGTTTTACGGGAAGGATTGGGTTTTTCTGTTTTTGTTCGGCAGCTTTTAGTTTGCTTATAATGTAGCCACAGCATGAAATGAAAAGCCCTCAGAGAATGTAGGGAAAAATTTAAAAAGTATCGACCTGCTGGCGAACGTGAAGTTCAGAAGGTCCGCGTGGCAACCTCACTTCTTTGTACCCCGGGGCTATAGGCGTGGCTCGGAATACAGCTCCCGCCAGGTGACCTGTTTTCTTGCTTTCCTTTGCGAAGGCATATGCGGGTAGATTTATCCAGACCACGGAACTTAAACTACTTTAGTGGTAGAGTTTATCCTAGGCTCCTGCAAAGGATATGACGCGGAATGATAAAAGCATGCTAATTAGTCCCTTCGGTCTGGGCTGTGTACCGGAGGGCCTTCATTTACTGACCCCTGCTTGTTACCTACTAGCTGGAAGATCTCGAAGTGACTGTGTCTGACCATATTCAGAAAGTCCTGAAGCCTAACTTTGCTGCTGCCTGGGAAGAGGTGGGAGACACCTTTGAGAAAGAGGAGACCTTTGCCCTCAGTTCTACCAAAACTCTCCAAGGTGAGAACAATTTTGCTCTCGGTGTACTGCAGTCTAAAACCTAATAGGCTTACTTATTATTCCACAGTAACTCTTTAAATATCTCATAACCTGTTTCACTGCCAAGGCCAGGATCCCATCTGCATCATCTAATGGAATCAACCGGGTTCTAGTCTGGTAGCCTCCCTCCACGGGGCACCCCTTCCATCCCCAACATGTGCAGGGGCAGACCCCCAGGCTGAGCCTTCCTGACCCTCTTGTATCTTCTCAACACAGAAGCTGTCAACAACATCATCACGTTTCTGGGCATGCAGCCATGTGAGAGGTCAGACAAAGTGCCTGAGAACAAGAACTCCCATTCCCTGTATCTGGCAGGTAAGAAACCTCCATCAGAGTCTCCCTTTGTATGGTTGCAAAATAGGAGGGGGTGTGCAGGGGCATCTCGTGCCCTGCTACGGTTCCATTATCCCGTTATGGGTTATAATTTGAAGGCCTGTTCATATGAATAATTTGTTTTAGCTGTTTAATTATTTGCGTATCCTTAACGTTGTTCTCTGAAGAAGTAAATTTGGCCTAAAACACGTAAATCTCTCCCGCACATACCAATCCTACCACTTCCCCACCTCTGAGTACTCCAAATCAGTATTATTGAGTACCTCCTATGTGCCTGGTATCACGGAAATATAAACGATTGCTTAGAATTTGTCCACAAGATTCAATTCTCACCGTAAACACAAATCTCTAGAAAAGCTAAACTAAACTAATAGGAAATGCAAGCACAGCACGATATAGTTCATTATTCAGAGCTTCTTGTGAGGTCTTAAGTTAGTTTTCCTTGCTTTTTTCTCTCAGGTGTATACAGAGGTGGCTATGATTTACTGGTGAGGTCCAGGCTGGCCTTAGCAGACGGAGTGACCATGCAGGTGACTGTCAGAAGCAAAGAGGGAACACCTGTAGATGTTATCTTGGCTTCTGTTGGATAAATTGTCACTGGGCAAGATGAAGTTGATGGCACAGTTCACTGTCAGTGGGCTTTTAGACTAGTGGCATGAATTTCCCGGAATTTGACTTTTAAGGATTCATGTTCTTTGGAGAAGCAAATTAAACATTTGGCCCTGAGCCAGCAGATCAAGCAACTATCTGTTCTTGTGCATGTAAATTTTTTTTTCTTTTCTTTTTTTTTTTTTTAAATTAACACTTGGTCAACTTTGGTATGATAGTACAGCTTTGGGTGATGTTGCAAATCAAATACTATCCTGTACCCCAGCTGCTTAACTTCATCACATTCTTTAATCTAATGTGTGTCTGAAAGCTCCTGACAATGTTGGAAAGCTTTTATCCCAGAGGGGTGGTGGGGGAGGGGAAGCCGGAGTCCACTTTTGTCAAAATTCATTTTTATTAATAGAAAATAAACACTTATTCCAGTTTCAGTCGTTATACTTCAAGTTGCTAATAAAAAAAAAAATTTAAAATAATCACTCAATCATCCTGTTTTGACTAAGACAGTGAAGCTGTGGCTTAAAAAAAACGTATTCAGCACCATTTGCGCATAGGCCTTTCAGAATTTGTTCTTAAAGTTTCAGAACTTTCCTGTCTACAAAGTACAGGAATTACTGAGCTACGAGAGGAAGCTTCTCTAGGACAACCAACGAGAAGTTAAGTAATCGTCATAAAAGGAATCCATGTACATTCAGCACGGTAACTTGGACTATACAACGATCCCCTCCCCTCCAGCTCAGGAGGGACATGCTTCTAAGCACTGAGGTATGAAGAGTCAGACTGTTATTTGCTGTTAGAATTAGCTAATAACAGTAAATCTCTGGCAAGGATGCTACTGGTCCTTAACATCCTGTGATTTTAGGAAATTCTGTAAATAGTCTGGGTTTAATTCAATTTACTCAGAAATGAAACCTGTTGAATAAGGTTCACTACTCTGCCAGAGTATCTGCTGGTTTAGTATTCTTATAAAATACATATAATACGTGCAGGTAAATCATAGTATTAAAGTATACTTAGAATACTGCATATTCAAACCAAAACCTAGGTCAACAAAATGCCTATAATTAAAAGCAGCTGATGGAACGAAATCCAAAGTTATGACAAGGGAGACTCACTCTCACTAAGCCGTGTTGCTTAGAGAAGTTATGAAAGCGTGTGCCCTTACGGCCATTTGAGGACAGGTAAGGAGACCCCCCTCTCCTCATTCTTTACCATAGGATTCCAATCGAGGATGGGCCAGAAATTAGCATTTCTAAATATTCCAGAAAAGTCCACAGAATTGTCAGAAAGACTTTCAAAACGTCTGTCTTTCTGAATCTGTGAGTAGTCATGCTCATCAGAATTTTCTGATAGCACAAAGACAAAAGCAAGTCCATACACTCGCTCAGATGTTAGAAGAATGGGAGGTGGACTGTTCGGGCCATCCTTAGCCAGAGCTTCCGTGGGCTTTTTAACTATATGCTGATCACAAGTGAGTCAGGTGGACTTTTGTGAGAGAATAGCGTTTGGTGGCCAGGACCTCTTTTGGGCATTTCTTTCTAAGTGGAATACACAACAGGTAAGGGAGTAGGGGAGGTAATACAGGGAAGCTACTCTTTCCAGCTCAGAAGGAGTTGATGAAGCCCATATATGCATTCAAGAAGCCCATGGGATCCTCTAGCTGTGGATAGTGGCTAATGTGGTCATCCAGAATCGACACTGTGGACCGCGGCAGCGTTTTCCTAGTGGAAGAGAACAGCATGTAGGTGAACTTGAGGCTGGAGGGAGGGGAGGGATGCAAGCCAGTGGGCAGCCCCAGTAAATGCCCTTACGGACATACCACACTGGAAGGAACCAACAAAGAGCTTATTCACCTTCTACTTTGGAATTGTACCTTAGGCGGGTAAACCTGCCAATTCCATTTATGACATAAGCAGACTAGTTCTTAACTGTTCATAACCCAACAGACAACAACTTGAAAATATAACACTTTGCAACACCTGCCCAGGCAGGAGGACTTCCAGCTCCTTAGAGAAGCATGAGGCATCAAACGAGTGGGCCATTCAGAAACTAACCGTCCAAGTAAAGATAACAAAAGGCCTTCCTTAACCCTGGCAGGAGATGGGGGGGGGTGGGGGGGGGGGGAGGGCATTCTGTTTAGAATTAAATGTACACTATTTACTACTGGGTTGTTTCTGCTAGGCCGTGTGAAGGTATGGGACAGTCTCATGTGACATAATCAAGATTTCGTATTCCAACACCTTCTAAGTTAAGCACCTAGAGAAAATAACAACCAAGGAGAAGGCACTTTTCCACAGTGAACTCTTCTCAAGCTCTCCTTACAGTCTGCTCAGCTGAGGTCGAGGAGTTTTACAGTCAGACTAAAGCAAACATTTAAAACAGATCTACTTCCGTTCCTTGGTTCACATGACAGCTTTTTCTTACCTGTACACCTAGGAGTATGTGGTAGCCATGACAGTGAAAACAGGCCATGTAAATCAAGACAACGTAAACCTGAATTTTTTCATCTTTCCATTTACGAAAATAAGATTCCCCAATTCATCTTTTTATGTGTTTCCTAGATGAACAGCCAGTGAGGGCAGAGAAAGTGGCTATCCTGTTCACCACTGTCACCAGGAACAAAACAAAGACCCCTGAGGGAGACTCACCTGTACAGCTCCAAAAACTCTGGATAGGGGTTTACGGGATCCAGTGGCCCATAGATAAAATGAACTAGGAAAGAGAAGAGGAATGAATTACTAAAGGTCTCAAATGTATTCTCCTACCCTTTAAAAAAAATTGTTTTTCCAGTCTTCATTGAGAAATAATGGACATACGTCACTATTTAAGTTTAAAGCATACAGCATGACGATTTGGTGTATGCATTTTGTGAAATGATTACTGAGACAAGTTAACATCTACCTCGTATAGAAACGATGAAAAAGAAAAAAAAATTCTTGTGATGAGAACTCTTAGGATCTACTCTCTCAACAACTTTCTTGTTGGCTAAAGTCATTATGTTGTACGTTACATCCCTAGTACTTACTCGTAAGTGGAAGTCTGTACCTTTTGACTACTTTCCTCCAGCTTCTCCCTCACCCCACCTCTGGTAACCACGGATCCAATCTCTTGTCCTCTGAGTTTGGGGGAGTTTTTTTAAATTCCACAGTATGATCTCCGTAAGTGAGATCATACAATATCTGTCTGTCTGACTTCTCTCATTTAGCATAATGCCTTGTAGGTTCATCCACGTTGTCACAAATAGGAAGATTGCCTTATGGCTGAATAGTGCCCACTGTATACATACGTATATATCACAACTTTTTTATCCATTCATTGATAGGTGGACATGCAGGCTGTTTCCATGTCTTGGCTATCATAAACAACGCAGCTATGAACACAGGGGTGCAGAAACCTTTTCAAGTTAAGTGTTTTCATTTCCTCTGGATGTATTCCCAGGAGTGGAGTTGCCAGATCATAGGGTGGTTCTATTTTCATTTTTTTGAGGAGCCTCCATACTATTTTCCACCATGGCCGTCCCCATTTACAATCCCACCACCACTGCACAAGGGCTCCCTTGCTTCCAAATCCACCCCAACACTTACTGTCTCTTGTCTTTTTGCTGATGGCCATTCTAACAGGTGTGAGGTGATATCTCATTCCGGTTTTAATTTGCATTTTCCTAATGACTAGTGATGTTGAACTCTTTTCATGTACCTGTTGGCCTTTCCTATACCTTCTTTGCAGAAGTATCTATTCGCGTCCTTTGCCCAGTTTTTAATTGGCTTGTTTCTTTGCTATTGAGTATACACATTCTTCATTCATTTTGGATGTTAACCTCTTGTCACATACATGGTTTGCAAACATTTTCCCCATTTGTTGATGGTTTCTTTACCTATACAGAGCTTTTTTAGTTTGATGAAGGTCCCACTTGTTTATTTTTTGTTTCTAAGTATCTTTTTAAAAAAATTTTTAGGGGCGCCTGGGTGGCGCAGTCGGTTAAGCGTCCGACTTCAGCCAGGTCACGATCTCGCGGTCCGTGAGTTCGAGCCCCGCATCAGGCTCTGGGCTGGTGGCTCAGAGCCTGGAGCCTGTTTCGGATTCTGTGTCTCCCTCTCTCTCTGCTCCTCCCCCGTTCATGCTCTGTCTCTCTCTGTCCCAAAAATAAATAAACGTTGAAAAAAAAAATTATTTTTTTTTAATTTTTTATGCTTAGGGGTGCCTGGGTGGCTCAGTCAGTTAAGCGGCCGACTCTTGACTTCGGCTTGGTTTGTGAGTTTGAGCCCCGTGTCGGGCTCTGTGCTCACTGCGTAGAGCCTGCTTCCAACCCTCTTTCTGGCCCTCTCCCGCGCAGGCTCTCCCTCCCTCTCTCTCAAAAATAAATGTTAAAACAAATTTTTTTTTTTAATTTTATGCTTAGAAAATCTAGCTTCTTTTAATGAGTAGGTTATAAGGAGCTCCTGGGAATAAGCCTAACACAGTCCATTTGGGACAATTCTCCTGTACACAGCCATTCAGTCCCTCCTCCAGCTCTTCTGTGCCTGGACCAAGGGGACTAAGCCACACTGTGCATGTTCTCCTCCTATGAATCCAGGATACCATCATTATTTAGGTCTCTCTTCAGTTATAACTGACCGCTGACGTTTTAAATCTTGGGCACCAGCTACTATGGATGAGACACTGCACTGAGTTTTTTCTTTTTAAATCTATAAGAACGAACAGACACGTGAGCACAAAACACCTCCAGCCTCTCAATTAGTATCTAAACCGCCTTCTGTTGCGGCACTTCAGCATTTAACGTGGCAGCCGCTGACAAGGCCCAGCACGAGAGCCGGCCCAACTCCCACTCCTGACAGTGACCCCAACTACCTCTGCAGTGGCATCTCCCTGTTTTCCACACTTCACTCTACAACTCGTGTCACTGGTGTCCAGATGCTGGGAGTAGGGCCTGCCAGATTAAATAAGAGATGCCCAGTTAAATGTAACTTCAGGTAAGAAATGATGATTTTGGGGGGGGGGGTATAAAGATGTCAAAATACTGCAAAGCACATACTTATTCTAAAAAAGTACTTGCCGTTTATATGAAATTCAAATTTAGCTGGGTCTCTTGTATTTGCTAAATCTGGCAATTATTTTAGCTCCATAGTCCCTCAGTATTCCTATCAAAACGTAATACAGAAATACTCACTGGGAATAGTTACAGAAGCAAGAGCTCCCACCCAGCGTCTTCTAAACTTCTTCCTCTGGTTGATGTACTGTAAGAGACTACAGGACAGATAAGTCAGCAAGAGTAGGACAAGAAATCTTTACTGTTACAGGAATGCAAAGGCATCCTAAAATGAAAGCCGCGACATTCTCACTTGAACCGCGGCCTGAGGATGCTTTGTACAAGACAGAGAGCTCTCCCTCTCAGTCCCTGCTGCAATGGAAAAGATACGAAAAAGGAAGAGACTTGTACTTTGGGAGGTACTAGGCTCCTTTCACAACTATGATTAGACATTTTGAAGCATTTTAATATTAACAAAAAGCCCAAAGTAGGATTTGCTAAACTTCATTGGCCAGTTACTGATTTAGCATTAGAATGTGCAGCTGTTTATCTAAACTCTGTACCACATGGCTTCTGCTCAGGGCTCACTATTCTCCACTTCTTTCTTCTCAGCGCAGGACTTTCTCGTTTGCCTCACAGACCATAACGGACCCCCTCGTGAGAGGGAACAAGCTAGCAAGGAACAGAACGAGGAATCCTACAGCTTTCCCCACTTTCCAAAAACAGAGCTTCTCTGGAAACCAAAAGAAAGTGTGATTTCTTACCTGTCGATGACTAAGTTTCCGTCATTGTTGCGGATCCCTGCCCACATGTCCCACAGCTCACTCTCAGAGGGGCGGGTGTACGGCCCAAAGACTGGGGTGAGACTGAAAGAGCCCAAAAGAGCAGAAAGACACAGGTGAATGTTAAAGAATCCAGAATGTTAAATATGACTGGAACCTCACAGGTCACAGAGTCTGACCCTTAACTGATTTGTGCATTCCTTGTACCACTTCCCTGGCAAATGGCCAACATCTGTGTTTTAAAATATCAAACCCTGGCCCAGAATTTTAATGGCAACTTTTCACTACATTGTTCCCAGGCTATAGCTAATCAATAATGACTTACCCTCGGGAGAATACAAAGAAGTTCATCAATCGTGTCAGGATGGGTGACAGCACGCCTCCATCTTTGAGGAGCTGTAGGTAAAGAGGTAAAAATCAGGAATTTAGAGAAAGAAAACCACTAACCAGGACAGAAGTTTCGTATTAGGAATTTAAAAAGGACTTAAGCCAAATGTCCTTCTACTGAAACATTTCCTTACTGGCTTTTCGCTTCTTGTTTTGCCTACCTGCTCTCTCACGGAAGGCAGACCTATTTGTGGTTCCCTTTAAGATTACCTTTCTACGCTTCACTAAATCCCTAAGATTTCTAACTGATGTATTCAACTTTAGGATCTGATCTGTTCAGACAACATGCTAATGACACAAATCTCTAGATAGCTGTATTTCTCCAAGTATTTGTTGATCTCTTCTTCTCAGAAAGGAGGCTTTACCTAGAAACTGCTTCCATTGCTGTATCTGCGGATACAGAAGGAAAAAACTAACTTTATTAATGTAAATTCCTGAGGAGAGCATTTTAACTACAGCCCATTACAGCAGGTATGGCCCTTATAAAGGTCCTAGCATTATTTATGTTGGTATAAATCTTGAAAACTCAAGATTTTGGGGGCGCCTGGGTGGCTCAGTCGGTTAAACGGCCGACTTCGGCTCAGGTCATGATCTCACGGTCCATGAGTTTGAGCCCCGCGTCGGGCTCTGTGCTGACAGCTCAGAGCCTGGAGCCTGTTTCAGATTCTGTGTCTCCCTCTCTCTGACCCTCCCCCGTTCATGCTCTCTCTCCGTCTCAAAAATAAATAAACGTTAAAAAAAAAAAACACTCAAAATTTTGTCACTGGAGTAGCCAACCTTTTGGAGTAGGAGAGGACGGTGAGTCTCAGGAAATATACCTATAGGAGAAGAAGAGACTCATGTTACTTATTTACCAACAATTTTAAGTCAAACACAGGCTCATTATCGGAGACTATCTCCCGATTTACTGTCACATTTGAGGCCTTTATTGCCAGAAACGATAAAATAAACAAAACTTAGTTCTTTCATCTAATTATTTCTCCAGGGAATTCTCTGTTTAACAGGTCAGAGTCTGTCCTGCTGGGATTACTTTCCCCATTGTAAGAGTAGAGAAACAGGGGAAAGCTAATGTATGTGATCGTCCATAATGCTGACTGAGCCTGACCTCCCTTGGCCTTTCTTTCCATTCTTCACAGTACCTAGTATTGTTAGTGATTTGCGCTACAAAGGAAACCAGTGGTTTTTTCAGGAACTGTCCGCCCCCGGGCGCCCCCCCCCCCCCCCCGGGGGGGGAACCAAAAAACCTAGAGTTTCCTTTTCCATTTTTCTCCAGAGTCAATGAGAGAAAGCCATGAGCATCACTGATAAAGGGAGAGACTCCCGTCCGAATCTGCCCTTATGGTATTCAGGGGACATCTGGATATTCATGGACTTACAAGTCAGGCTCAATGGCACACAAGGAAAAAGAACCCTCTCCAAAAGGTTTAAGCAAAGGTTCAGTAATTTCTAAGTGAAACTTGGCATTACCATCAATTAAGAGTTTTGGGGGGGCGCTAGGGTGGCTCAGTCAGTTGAGCATCTGACTCTGGATTTCAGCTCAGGTCATGATCTCACTGTTTGTGAGATGGAGCTCTGCATTGTCAACCACGGAGCCTGCTTGGGGTTCTCTTTCCAAAATAAATAAAAATAAACATTTTTTGAAAGATTAAGAGTTTCTGGAACAAACCACAGGGTATCAGAAGCGCCTGTGGTTTCATCACAACTATCTGCATAACCCACTGCAGTTGCTGCAGCGAGTGCTCTCCTCACGACCAACCGTGGTTGTTGCTAGACCTACCCACAGATCTTGCTGCGCGATGCATTTACAAAGAAACACGCGTGACTGTAACGCAGCTTTGTATTAGCTGTCTGTCGATACGAGCAGTTTCTTTCGTGATCCTATTTATTTTCTATGTTTAAAAACATTCTGAGAAAGAGTCGGTAAATCTCATTAGAGATTTTGTAGTTCATGGCATAAGAAAGGTCAAGATCCTCTGGTGTAATTATGTCTGCCTGCAATATCATGAGATCACTGTTTAGATGTCGACATGATATCTACATGTGGCCCTTTGAGGCTACACCTCATTTCCACCCACCACCACGGCAGTTACCTCCATTTGACAGACAGAGACTCTTTATGGTAAGCCGACCAGATCGATTCTGCTTGAACCTGGAAATGGGTGAGGGAAACACACATCTAACTCAGTGGACACACACCAATGCAGCAGCTGAAGACAAACTCCCAAGAGGGAAAAGGACTAGAAAGAATCCAGGAACGATTTATTTTTCCCAGCATTTTAAACCAGTGATACCTGTGAGCAGGACTGAAGTCTACGACCTCACTGACCTATAGAGCAGCTCCTGAGCAACGATATCTCCATAGTCATGAGACAAAAGGTTGATCCTGCGGTTCTGGAGCCCCAGGTGCCGCAAAAGTGCCTCCACAATGCTGGCCTGCTCAAATATGGAATAGTGATGTGGTCTCTAAGGAGAAGAAAGCCCAGATATACAGGATGACGTCATGAGTGCTGATCTGTCTGCCAGCCTGACCCTCTGTTGTCATCCAACACCACCCCTCCACCAAAAAAAACACTGGTCCCATCTAGATGCCCCTTACCGGTTTGTCACTGAAGCCAAAGCCCAAGAAATCAAGGGCGATCACTCGATGAAACCTTAGGGTCAGACCTTCCCAAATCTACAAGAACGAAAAAGAGGATCTGGATTTTGTAATCCTGCGCCTCTGCTCTTCCAACCTACAGTACAAGAGCTTCATCCCCATCTTGACTTAACAAACAGACTTTGATAAAGAGTCTCATGAAACCACCACAGGCCCACGGATGATCCTCTTGGTTTACTCGTAATCTCCATTCAGGGAAAACCTCGAGCATTTTTAACTTGTCAATGATCCTTTCCAGATCACCCAAGGGTTTTTTACTCTCTTACAGTAAATGAGAAACAGTTCTACATTTAATCCTGTTTTATTAAGCAATTCAAATAGCTAAGAACCTTGCAGTCCTGATAACACAGTCCTTGATTTTGGATTTTTAAAGATATAGTAGGATCTAGAAATCTGATTTCATTACCTTGTACCAATCATAGCTGGATGTTGGAAAGCCATGCAAAAGCACAACTATCTCAGGACTTCCAACCACACCCACAGAGTCTGGGAAAAAGGAAAGAAATCAGTTAGGCTGGCTGCCTTAAAAAATAATCTTGAAAATATTAAAATCTACATAATCTGGTATAAAGGACAAGAAACCCTGCCTAAATTAATGAAATAAAAATAAATTCATTTTTAAAATGCAAGCTTACTGCTTTACGTAAAAACAGGCATTTGATGATTTTTTCATCTGTATATTAAAAACTTGTCAATAGCACACTTTATATGAAAATACTTGAAGGCAATCTGCTTAATTTCACTTAGATTTTTTAAAGTATTTCCCCATTTCTTTATATTACCAATATGTAAATTGTTTTTCACAGTAAAAAGTAAACTTGCACAGTTAGAAGTATACAATCACGACATAGACACTACAGGTTTTTTGTACCTTATTAATGGCCTCACAAAAATTCTCTGAAATATAGCAACTCTTCCTCAACCTGGTGAACACCTTAGTTTATTCTATTTGTCCAGCACTTTTATTTCCCCCAGGGGAGACCCAATCCAGTATCAAAAGCATACTGCTCAAACTATTAAAAGTTCTAACAAGTATAAAAAAATATTAATACAGACATGAACATTTTTTAATGCACAGGCATCTTTTAAATTAGTCAAACATTTAAACAGTGAAAGGTCTTGTTAAAAGTATTAGATTTAAAACGGACACATTCATACATACTGCCAGTGGCATGAGATTTGAGAAGGTTTGCAAAAATAATTTAATCAAAAGCAATTAAAAATATTCTTGAGAATTAAAGAAAAATTCTTGAGAATCCATGCAAATAAAATCATTCCGTTTACAAGTAGTATAGTGTGAAAATATATGGAAAAAAATAAATATGTTAAACATATACATGAAGATTTCCCTTCAACATTGACTATGTGAGACATTAAAAAACTAGAAACAATTAAATGACCGGTATAGAGGAAATTATATACTTACTTAATTGAATACAGCAAATGAGAGGAGGTCAGGAGCAATAATGAAAAACGGTTTATGACAAACATTTTTCGTTATTGCTCTTGACCCCCGCCCAAAAGAAATCTTTCCCAATCTTGTTTCACAATTTCTTTACCTATAAAAGGGGTTAACAGCGCCTATATCCAAGTACTGTTGTAAAGATTAAACGAAATAATGGAGATTGAAAACCTAATCCAATGACTAGCATACGATAATTACTTGACAAGTAGCAGTCATAATAATTATCATCAGCAAATTAATTTATACAAGGGTATAAGGCTTAAATCGCATTTAGTTATGCATGCAACAAATCATCTTTATAGAACACAGTAAAATGAAATCAGGGACGGAGGGAAACAGAACCAACGGTAGGTCTGCTGAATACCGTTTATATTACCCGACACTAGGGGCGCTCAAAAGAGAAAACCAGTATCTATCAATACAAATGAGGCTATGAAGAAAAATTATACTGAAAAGTCAGTTCTACAGAAATTGAAATTAATTCCACCGCCCCCACCCCCACCCCCCCCCCCAGCAGTTTTCTTTGAGCTTCCCTGCTATGGAGTTAATGAGGGGAATGAGTTCATTCCTTCAAGCACACTGCCCAGAAAATGGGGCTTTTCCCCGCCATCACTGAAGGGCAACGGAGACCAATGGACACAAAATGAGTACCTCAGTGGGACCTATGGGATCTGTACACGCGGGGGGCTCCAACGGCCCTCGCCTTACCTTGGTAGAAGATGCGCAGTCCCTTGTAGGTGAAAAATTTGCCTGACGACTTCCAGGAGTGAAGGGCAGGGGAAAGCTGGGGGGGTGGGATATGCAGGTAGGCCGCAAGCAGGGGCACAGCCAGCAGACCCACCTGCACCCACCACTCCCTCATCCTGTAGGAAAACCAGAGACCCGAGGTAAGCGGTCGGACGAACCGCACATGCTTCGACAAGCCCCAAATCGGCAAGATGGGGTGGGAAAACTCTGTACCGTGCAGCGACTGCCTGGCCCTCCATATGACGCACGGCAGAAAGTTTACCCAGAAGAACGTAAGCACACCTCTGCCTGCTACGCAGTCACCATAACTGCTCACCATTCTAGGAAAAAATATATTATTTTAATACGTAATCTTCCCCCTCTCCTTCCCACTTTAATCCCTCAGTGTGCTTCTCCTTCCTCCCATTGTGCTTTTCCCCAGACTTGAAGAGGTATTTTTTATGTGAAGCAAAAAGAAGTATTGTGCCCCTTTTCACTGGCTTTTATCAAACCTTCCCCAGAAAACAGTAATGATTTCCTTCATATTAAGCTCTACCCCCCCCCACGAGTAAAGTGTTATATACAGATACACAGATGTAGTTTTTTACTAATGATTTTTTTAAAAAGCACGTCGTAGTATCCTCTGTCCTTAAAGCAGAGAGCCGTTTTTAATTTTTTTAATATTTGTCAATTCTCTGACCCCAGTGAAGCCCCACTTGGTACTGCGCTCTCGATCTGTGCTGAGAAACGGCTCCAGGTAAACCATCCGCGAACGTAGGACCCTCGGTGCCCTGCGTATTCCAACATAAGCAGCTTTGTCATGACCCACAGTATCTAATCTCCTGAGAGCTCAGGGCAGGAGATTATATTTCTGCTCTACTGAGCAGACTCTTGAGGAAGCTCCCATTTATTTAATTTTTTAGGACCGCTACCTCCCACCCTGCACGCACCTCAAAAAAAAAAAAAAAAAAAAAAAAAGGCAGAGCTCATACCCAACATCTGGAAATTGCTTTGGTCTCTGGAAAGAAAGGGCTGGCTTGCATACCCAACCTTCTCATGCCCAGGACTTCAAAGGTCCAGGTCAGTCTATCCACAATGATGAGTGCTAAACGGGAATTAGAAATAGTTCTCTCTGTTTCTAGCTTATGACTTCGAATAGTCACCAGGGAAAGAATTAGCAGTAGAATGGAAGGGCTCTCAAAATAACCAGATTGGAAATACTTTCTAAAACTAAAGTAAGAGTTGTCAAGAAAACAGAGCTTACAAATTAGGGAACCCAACTGTTAAAGCCCCGCTGGAGACAGCTTTGTGCGAGTACACATACCCTTCCACCAATATTACCTGTAGACTGGACACAACCCCTACCCATCACAAACTGATCCAACTCACAAAATACTTTTTTTTTTTTAACTCTAAAACTAATAAATAAGACTGTGGTTCCACAGTGGTTAAAAAAAAAATCCCTCAAAAAATCTGAGCAGCATCTCTCTATTTTAGGCATCACTTAGGGCAGTTTTTTTTTTTTTTTTTTTTTTCTTCCTCCAAAGTAGCTGTCCATAAAACAGACCCGATGATTTGGTTGCACCTTTCAAGTTAATATTATGATTCCAAAAAGTGACCGCAAACATGATAATTATTATCACAATTTTCACCCCCTAATAGTGGCAGGCTACATCCCAGTACCTCCTTGAAAAATGAGATGACAAAAGGCATCAGGTTTAGCTATCATTAGCTATCATCTGTCCTGTACTTCAGCTCATACATTTCATCACCGCCACCCCCCCCCCCCCCCCAGCAGCCGCCCCAACCTGGGCTTCATCTCATTCATTCAGGGGTTTCAGCAGACGCATATCTGCAATGACTCAGCACAGAGCCAGGGAGGGGCTACTAGAGGAGCAAGCAGAAGGCTGCGGGGGGCGGGGGGCGGGGGGCGGGGGGACAACGACTGTATACTTTCCACTCCCGGACACCTCCACCCTCTACACCTCCTCTTTTACTCCAAGAAAGGAAAGAGGCAACCTTTCAGGAAGCCGTTTTCTGGTTTCATACCTCCGTAAAAATGCCTCTAACAACATTTTAGGATTTTTAGCAGGGAAACAATCTGGCAGTCAGTAGCCAAAACGGGTTAAACATTTTTTGACCAAAATCCCCATTACTTAATGAGCCACGAGTCAAAAGTATAAATCCTGCAACCCCCAGGAGCAAACCTTCTGGAAATTAATAACCTCTACAAGCCTTGAATTCTTCGTCTCATAAAGAGGAAAAAATACGTTTAAAACCACCAAATTTGCCACCTTACGGCATCGCGCTGAGACTGTGAACTACTGCGTAAACCAATGGAAACAATTCACGTGTAACATTAGGACAGTTTGGTCAAGTAATCATTTTCGCTTGGCTTCTCATTACTGAAATCCGAAAAATACTTACGCCTCGGTGATACGGTACTGCAAGTTCTAGTCACACCTACGCAGTAACTCAGGCCACAGCGATACGAGGGTCTTCAAATCCTAAGTCGCGCCACAACGATACCGGGGTCTAGAAATCCCAAATTGCGCCACAGCAATACCAGGGTCTCGAAATTCTAAATCGCGCCGAGATGATGCGGGGGCCTAGAAATCTTAAATCGCGCCAGGGTGACGCCGGGGTCTAAAAATCCTAAATCACGCCAAGGCGACACCAGGGTCTAGACGTTCTAAATCGCGCCAGAGCAATGCCCGGTTTCAAAATCCTAAATCGCATCTGAGCCATACCAAGACCTAGAGCGCCAATCGCGCCAGAGCGATGCCGGGGTCTAAAAATCCCAGAGTCTCAGGGCAAAGCCGGGGTCTAAAAACCCTGAATCGCCCTAGGGCGATGCCGCGGTCTAGAAATCTTAAATTGCGCCAGGGTGACGCTGAGGTCTAGAAGTCTTAAATCGCGCCAGGGTGACGCCGGGGTCCCCAAATCCTAAATGACGCCATGGCAACGTTGGGGTCTAGAAATCCTAAATCGCATCCGAGCGATACCAGGGTCTAGAAATACCAAATCTGGGAGATCTCCAGCCCTGCACATTCTACTGCGTGCAGGAGTGACATCCCCTCCCAAGTAGGCAGACAGGGCTCAGAGGACAGGCAGGCGCGCCACCCCGCCCCCCGCCACCAGCCCGGGTGGGGTCTTCCCTCACGGGAGTCGAGGTCCGGCAACCCCGGCACGGACACGCACATCCCCACCAGCTGGCCCGCACCCTCTCCGGGACGGCGGCTTTGAGCCAGCCACACCCCCTCGCGCCGGCCGCGCGCACCCACCTGCGGAGGCGATCTCGGCGCACCATGGCCGCGTCTTATCCCATGCCGCCCGGCACACGGGATTGGAGCACCGGGCGCCGCAGCACCCGCGGCAGGCCAGGGCCGGCCGGCAGCAAGGCGCAGCCTACAGCCCGCGAGGGCGGCGCCGGCCGCGGCAAGCAGCGAGCGGCCACCCGGGAGTGCGCTGCGGCACTGCCCGAGGCGCGGCTGCCGCAGAGGAAGGACGGAGAGGCGCTGGTTGCCGCGGCAGTGCCGAGCGAGTGGGCACCGACTTTTAGAGCCCACCCGCGCCCCGCCCCTGGCCCGCCCACCGCGCCGCAGTGCCCCTCCCGCCGCAGCCAACGCCTCTCCCCACCAGCCCTCCCCGCAGCCCTGCCGCCACCGCAGGGATGGAACTTTCCTCTCACGGCAGCTCCTCTAGGGGGCACCTTTAGGGTTGTCGACCCCGCCAGCGCTCCGCTGCTCCTTCACAAGCCTCCCCCCCCCCCCCCCCCCAACTCTGAGCTCCAGGTTCCGCAGCAGAAATTCTCCTCTGGCGAGTTAACGCCACAGGAAAAGGCAGACTCTGAAACCCGAACATACACCCCCACCCGTGGACCACCACCCACAGGTTCCCCAACCCCAGAGGTGGCCACTCGACCTCAGGTGTGGTGGGGCTCAGGGTGGCCAGCTGTGGTGCCTGCTCTCGGTCTATACCACGCCCGAGGCATGGGTTCCGTCCAAAGCAGTGGTCTTCGAGTGCCCCACACCTCGCAGGTCCCGAGCTGTGGGTAACCACCAAGGACACAACCGAATGTCTAGGAAACCATAAGCTCTGCTGGACCTCCTACCAATCTCATCAGCTAATTCGGGGGGTGGTGGTTAGGAAGCAAAAAGGGCAAAACTTGGGGAAAAGTCTGGGTTCTCTCGCTCAACCACGGCCATGGCCGCGGCGCCAGGCACGTTTCCTTTGCAGCAGCGCTACGTGGTCGGCATGCCAGAGCCCCGCCGCAGCCCTCTCTCGGCACCCGCTCCCAGCCAAGGGCCGGTACAGCACCAGAAATAATGATCTTCGCATTTATGCGACTAAAACTCCCCTTTTTTAGAATGCCGACTGAATCACAACGCAAGGGCGCCAGTGGTACGGGAAAGAAGGAAGGAATTTTTTTCTTCATCGATAATCCTTTAAAAGGCATATATTATGCCTTTGAAAAGAAAAGTGTAGAGAATCACAGTGTCTGTGTTCATTTTCTGGCTGTAAACTTAAACTCTGACGAACGCACGCGGGCTGCGAGCGAGCCAGGCAGCCCAAGCAGTGCCGGCTCCCTCCAGCGGGGGCGCTGCAGGCCTCTCTTTCCACTCGCACCCGCCCGCGCAGGCCGTTCCGCGGCAGACAGCGCAGCCAAGCACACGAATCGCAAAAGGCCAGTCCCGCCGAGCCCGGCCAAGCCCACCCGGCACCTAACATTGCACAGGGGGCCAGGGGCCGCCAGCCAGCCATAGGAGGAACCACCACGTATGGGCTATCATCGAAACATGTGGCGCAACCCAGGGTACATTTCTAGCGGGGTCCGATTAACAGGGTCGTGAAAGGGACCTACAATGCGCGCTAAGCGCCGGAAATACGGAGATGAATGCGAAATGGCCCGTGCCGCAAGATGCTGACCATCCGGTGGGGAAGACAGACAAGCACTGATGCCGCTTAAATCTTCCCTTTCAGTTCCCGGCAACATTTTTTGACAGGTTGGCCCCCTCCCCCTAACATGGAAGGCCCTTAAAGGCCAAGCCCAAGTATTATTCACCTTTTGTATCCCCAGAGCCCGCCACAGTGCCAGCCACAAAGCAGGCCCCTAATAAATACTGCATGAATAAGTACAAGAATTTGAGGGCGCACAGGGGAGGAAGTAATTAAGGGGAGGGGGGCGGGTAGTCTTGAATGATGAATAGACATTTACCAGAGAGACAAAGAGCATTCCAACCAGAGGGGACGGCATTTGCAAAGCACCGGAGGCGCAGGACCGCACAACCTTTGGGGGAAAGCTGCAAGTCCTTTAGGCCTGGTGCCGACAGGCAAAAAACTAGGCTACAAGGAGTATTTCATCCTGAGGAGTTCGGAATCTGTCCAAAAGAAAATGAGAAGCCACAGATGGATGTAAACCCTTTATGGCTTTAATTGGTTACTCACCAAACTATAAATTACTCTCTTGAAAAGTAGAGGATTACCTATTTTAACTACCACCTTTTAAGGACGGAATTAATTACTTAGCAAAATTTAAATCAGTCAACGGAGTAAAGGTTTTCCCATTTTAATGAAGACAACAGTAACAACCTTTGCATTATTTTCTTTTCGTATTTGTCGTCCATAGAACCGTGGAGCCCCACAGATTCCACACTTTCACTCTCACCACACCAGAAGCACCAGCACCCAAGATGAAGGCGGTTTTGTATTTAATGAACTGAATGCTCACAAAGGATCTTATTCTGAAAGCCACAGAACAAGTGGGCAGATAGGAGAAACTGTTGGGGGGAGGGGTGAAGAGGGGACCGAAGATGCTCTCGAAGGCAACAGGAATTCTAAATCGGGCACTCAAGGGAAACGCTCCTGGACAGAGTGGCTAGGAAAAGCTTCCACGGGGAAGGAGGAATCGAGGGTTGAGGACTT